TTAAAAAGGAAAGAAAGGAGGGAAATTTGAAACAAAGATGTTCTTGGAGATATTGCCACCACCTTTGTTCTCTATCGCACCATTGGAGGAAGTTTATTCAGGGTTAGTATCACTCGAACTCTTGAAATGTTAGAAGTAAACAGTCTTCTGTTACTCCCAGATAAACAACCCAGTCCTCATCTCTCCAAACCAAAAGCTCCAGTGAAGGTCTTATCACTTTAGCAAGCCCTGCCTCACTTACAAACAACACTTCTGGGTGATCTACACCCTCAGGAATTCGGACCCATTGTCTTCACGTTGCCTCCATAATACAGTCACTATGTTGATTATGAAAGTTTAGCAGTTATTTCTAACCCAAAATTATCTAGGGAAAGGCATTTTGGTATATTCTTGGCTCGGCATTCCTCATGTTCAGCAGAGAATTTTATAATCCTATTAAGAAAGGGGAAAGACACGCTGATCGTGTTTGCTTTGTTCTTAGGAAAAAAACAAACACAACTAAACATGGAAAGGGGTGTGGTTTCTGGTTTCTGGTATTAGGTGGCCTCGAACAATATGTGCTAGATAATTGTTTCACATGCACATCTGAAACATGATCTTCATTACATTATAAGGTTTTGGACGGAAGAATATATGCCAACGTCCTGCTTAAATCCTGTGCCCTCCTTTAGTTTGGAGGGTTGTTTAGCGAGGGGAGGGGAGAGGAGGCATGTGTGACAACATACCTTACTTGTTTAAAGTTTCAGTTGATCCTATCTGAGTCTTTAAGCATCGCCTGAAATGTTTCCTCTTTTATGCACATCCCATGCAATGACCTTGCAGTGTTGGCAAGTCACCGAAGAAATAACAAGAATTAATAGGAACATCCAAACAGCGTTCTGTTGAACTCCTTTTCTTCTTTTGTGGGTAATCACAGCCTATTGTGTTGGGCGTTTTCCATTAACTACAGAGAAAAAAAAATAAAAAGACACAAGCTGTATAAATCTGCCTCAACAACCCACGAGATGGATTTGAAAAAAAAAAGACATTTTTTAGTGTATGTGTTCAAAGGCAAACCAGTACAAGAACTCTCTGCATTTCGGAGGAGTTTATTATCATAAATAAAAGGAAAAGTACAGAGTCAAATGTTTACTTCCAGCCTGAGAAACCTGTGCCAAACTCCTTTCCTGTCCCACCTGGCCAGCTGAGACAGTCTCTGGGTGAAGGCGTCTACATCTGATGTGAGCAGTCCTGCAACAGTTGCATCCATGCTGGAAATAGTCTCCAAATCCCGTAACCTCCCAATAGACTGGCTCACACTGCCTAATTACCAGGCTGAGGAGGTCCCGCTGGGAAGTCTTAAGATATGCCCATCCACCTCCAGTGCAGAGGTTCAGGAACCGTGGGCCGTGTATGTGCTTAGAGAAGTGCAGGCGCTGGTTTCAATTAAGAGCCTTCTTGATTTGATCGTTTTCAACTCTTGTCGTGGTTTAACCCCAACCAGCAACTAAGCCCCACCCAGCCGCTCGCTCACTCCCCCCTGCTGGGATGGGGGAGAGAATCAGAAGAGTAAAAGTGAGAAAATTCGTGGGTTGAGATAAAGACAGTTTAATAGGTAAAGCAAAAGCCGCGCACACAAGCAAAGCAAAACAAGGAATTCATTCACTCCTTCCCATGGGCAGGCAGGTGTTCAGCCATCCCCAGGAAAGCAGGGCTCCATCACGCGTAATGGTGACTTGGGAAGACAAAATGCCATCACTCTGAACATTCCCCCCCTCCCTTCTTCTTCCCCCAGCTTTATATACTAAGCATGACGTCATATGGTGTGGAATATCCCTTTGGTCGGTTGGGGCCAGCTGTCCCGGCTGTGCCCCCTCCCAGCTTCTTGTGCCCCCCAGCCTGCTCGCTGGTGGGGTGGGGGGAGGAGCAGAAAAGGCCTTGACTCTGTGTCAGCACTGCTCAGCAGTAACGGAAACATCCCTGTGTTATCAACACTGTTTTCAGCACCAATCCAAAACACAGCCCCATACTAGCTGCTATGAAGAAAATTAACTCTATCCCAGTCAAAACCAAGGCAACTCTCCATTTTCTTGATTCTAATCAGCTCTTTATATATCTCCTAGGAATCCCACAGCTTTCCAGAGCAGACAGATGTATGACCAAAAGCTATGATTGGATTCAAAGATAGATGTGGAGAGCTGCTGACATGACAGTGTCGTACACTAGTGCTAATCTTTTGCTGCACACCTACAAGTAGGTTAAACCCAAAAACACCCCTGTAAGATGAGTAAATATTATTATCTCAAAATCAGATATAAGGAAGGTGAGATGCAGAGAGGTTAATTAGGCTCATGGAGCAAGGTAGTAGCAACTCCAGAAATAGAGCCGGCATTGTATTCCACATGGTTTAACCATTAGTTAATGCTCCTTTTTCATCAGTGCTCTTCTGCTATCTTTGCACAACCTTGATAGGAGGTGCATGAGTTACAAGAAACAACAGGAGTGAGTGCTGGCCTGAAAGCCACATACTTAGAGGTTTATTCTAAGCTCTGTCAATTATTTGCTAGCTGACCTTGGAAAATTAACCTCAGTTTCCCCATTGCAGATATTAAGTTAGGGCATGTTGTAGGGTTGATCACAACTACAATGTAAGCTCTGTATTAGAAAGGCTGAAGAGGAGGTTTGTTCAAACAATTCACAGTTTTCTCCTGATAGCTTCAAAATGGTGTCAGTGATGAAAGCCATTTAAGGAAGCCAGCAGCAAGGATGGGTTAGTCTAATTAGTAAGCCTGCTGGTGTGCAGAGTGCCAGGGATTAAATTACCAAGAACTTCACATCCTACGCATCATGTCCCCCATCTACCTCTCATAGAAACCACAATTCTCCAGACATGAGAGCCACTTCGCACCTAAAAGAGAGGAATTAAACAGATATCTTTGCCCTCCTCCATTTCCTCCATTGATGAGCCATGTCTTCAAAAGTTAAAGAGAAACCTGGAAAAGCAAAGCGAAAAACAAACAGTGCCAAGCCGGAACCTGGCCTACCCCTATCAATAATGCATCACGAATCCAACCCTGCAGCTCTCTTAGAGCCATTTCCACTCAGGCATCACTCATTAGCTCATTAGTCACAGCAGCCTTATTCCTACTAATTGATTTTACTACAATTCCCTACAACGTATGGCCAAGATCCAGCATGTCTCTGCCTGGCTTTAAAACCATTATACTGGCACATCTTTGCGAGACACTTCAGCCCTCTCTCAAGCCTATTGAGCATGTAAAGGTTGGGCGATTCCTGGAACCGAGTTGTTGGAAGATTCCCTTGGGGAAAGGGCATGTGTCCCCTCAATCTGACAAGCCATAGGCTGAAAGCACCCTGCTGAGCAGAGAGTTGTGATTTTCACACCTGGTAGCAGGTCAGTCTGCTCTAGATTGGAGCTGCAAATGGGTACAGAAAGTTTGGCAGCTCTCTCCACACTGGTTTCCACCATGGTACTGGACTGGGACATAAGGGATGCTGGTTAGTGCAGGATCTGGGACAGACAGATCAGACCAGACCGCAAGTACGAAGGGTTTCATTAACTCTGCTGCTCTTCCCAAATTCCCACTGGACCTCACTACAGCTATCCCCTCTGCCCCAGGCGTGTGTTGTATGCCGTGCCTGGGAATTAGTGATGCTTTGTATATTCACCAGGACAGGAAGGTAGGGAACAAGATGATTTATTTTCATAAGGATTCCTGTTCCCTGTATGTAATAATTCACCTGCCTTTCCCCCCCCTGCCCCCGACCTGTGGGGTTTTTTTTCACTTTGAACTCCATGCAAGTACCTCTTACCTCTAGGTTATTAGTTAGACTAACTTCTGTGT